AAAGTTCYTTCCTTTCCAACGATTTCCGCATTAGCTCTATTTAAGTTMCACAGGGGTTAWTGAACTTTTTTTAGTTTCAGAATTTCAGACCGCATTTTCCTCCAGTTTTGAAAAAAATGYATTTGTATTAAATTWCTTGTARGCTTTAATTACSATCTCACAATAAAAATAAAGCCAAATTRTAATTATATAAATGTAAATAATAWATGTAACTTGAATAAATGAACACTAACTAATGCAAAAGMTAWTTTKTKTAAGAAAACACTCGAARTTTCATCAGAAAACGTTTTTACTTGAAGCAATACTTAGTCCAAAGAARCTTATTATTGCTTTTAACCGAAAATTTACACGGTTGGGTTTCCAATCGATTTGAAATGGCGCAATATGGCCTAGATAAAAATATGTCCCAAGCTTGTATTACTTTAGCTGCAATTTGTGGTTCTTCTGATGAAAGTGCCACTCAATTACAGACAAAAACGGTTTTATTTTATCCAACGGTTGAATTATAGGGGACTAATGACTCTGTCCATTGTAAACTGCCTCGCCCCTTCTATGCATGGTGGTTAATTATTTCCTTAATAACATACATTTACTGACTACTGCACATGATTTTACACTTGATTTGCCTGATAGATTGGCGATTTATGAACAACAAATAATTTTAGAACTATTGAGAAAATAAACACTAAAATGTATACTGATTTTGAATTAACGTGGTTTGTTTCAGCTTCAACCTCGGCTCCAACTAGAGTCACCAACAGGTTTAAGTTTGTTTCCAGAAAACCTTTTCTGCGCCATACCACCCCTAAAAGTGTACCTTTTAATACTTCTGACCAGGTTTTGGAACCAAGCATTCAGCAGTCACTGGAAAAGCATACCACGTAAGCTTTGAAACCCTAACTCATGCCTTGAAGTGAAGTTTTAAAAAACCTAGGCTGCTGCCGGAAGTTGCTGTAGCAGTAAATTTGCAACAAGTTCTGGTTCCGCAAGCTAAACCTTCTAGAAAACGACCTCAATATACTCGTCTTAATCCTTTGCATCCATCAAGAGCCAGGAATATTTCAACCACCACAGAAAATTCAAGTGCAAAATCGACCCCTCAAAGATTCAACGGAAAAACTGTTGCCATCACTGTTGCTTATCCGAGGGCAACGTCCCCAGGAAGAGCCCAGAGCACATTGCAAGCTTTTACAGCTGATCAGTTCGCTCCCAATAGGGTTACAGGACCTGCTTTAGTATCAGAGGTGTTCAGCAGCCCCAAACCTATCAACGCTCAAGAATTTTTAAATAAATGTGAGTTCTTCATAAAAATTCTCCAATTATTGGTTGACCTAGAGCTCCGTTTCAGACTCCACCAGGTCAAAAAGTCGATATCCCACCACTGAAGGGCCTTTGGTTATAATAACTCCTAGCCAAACAGCCACCACAAGGAGAAGAAATCCTGTTAAAGCCTTCGACAAAGTTTTCTCTGCAGGTGAACCTCAGAAGTTCCATCAACCGGAGGAATATGATTATTACGACAATGTTGAAGCCAGTATCGTAGGTAGGTTGCACCCATCTGGAAATATTGGAGCTTTTGTATATATAAAAGTCATTTTAGGTAAGATTCCTGCACATAGCAAGGTGCTGTTGCACACCAACGGTATTATTGAGTGTCTGGATCAGGGCAATTTTCCCCATCCATTGTCCTGCAGGAAGTTCATATATTGCGCCAAAATGGACAACGATAAAATTATTGGATGGGAATACACATGCCCGAAGAACTTGAGTTTCGATCCGATTGGAGGAATGTGCAACTGGTCGGCAGGTTTAGGTTGTAACGAGAGTTGAACTCTGAATGGCAGAAAATGTTGTATTTATTTAAAATGACCGTTGTAGGGTGTGTAAATAGTCATGATTAGCAGACAAGAAATAAATCGCAAAAAGGTTTCTATATTTATCCTTAAACCGGGAAAGTGTTTGTAAATACCCTCTATTGGACCCATTGGAAAATTGCAACTATTTTTCTTTATTAATAGTGTAATTTCAATTTGTGATGTAGATTTTACGGCGAATAGTTCTAGAAAAGTTATGGTGCCAAAGTACCAAAGAAAGCAAAAAGAGATATGTTTTGTTGTTAATTTACCATGTTCTATACAGGGTGATTCAAAATTTGCATCATTCCTCTGCAGGTGTTGTCTGGCGGTGTTTTAGGAGTACAGAAAAAATAGCAAAAAAATGAATTGTTATTAAAAATTGAGAAATTTGCAAACAAACTATATTAGATAAACGGCAACAATGTTTTTCAGGGTAATCTGCCTAACTAATATTATGTAAATACCAGTTGCTTGCAGCGTAATTATTAAAAACTCTTGTAACCATGGAATTATACAAAAAGTGACAATAAAATACAAAAGGACAAATAGCAAATTCAACAGGAATCGTTGAATGACTGAACGTCCTTTTTCGACTTGCTAATTATTGTCCTCATAACCTCGAATTAATTTGTTTACATATTACAAATAAACATACATTTGAGTCTTTAACTCCAAACAAGTTGGTGTCTGTGTAATCACCTTATTATTCACTCTGCTCGGGCAGCTTCTCGTATTAGGTTAATTAACTCCTTCTCAATTTGTACCGGTGTTCAGTAAGCCATTGGTTTAATGTGTTTTTGTGCTCTATTTATCTTACTTATGTGGTAGGCATGTAGTACTTCCTCGGTATTTATTTGGTGCATGGGAAAGTGTCAGTTGTTGTGCTGAGTACCCCTTGAAGGCTCTGCTGCAATTATCTCCAATATAGGTTCCTCTGTGTCTGGAAAAAAGTTTTTAGAAGAGAACTTTTTTAACATAAAAAATTTTCGTAATTTGAAGCAAAGATCGTAATTTTTATTTTTGATTGCTTAAGTATTCCAATATGCTACCAATTAAACATGGAACAATGTCAAAATAATGCTTAATAACAAAGTTGAAATTCTATTTTCAACTGTTAATTTTGTCTGGAAATTATCGATTTTTTTTTACATATGTTTATTGAGCCCATTCCACCTGAACTAATCGCATATCAGCAAATTCGTGAAAGGAAATTCCAAGCAAGTCATAGTTTGACAAATTATTGTTATTATTGACAAAGACTGTCTACCTGTAACTATCTGTTAATGGCAAAAAACATCATTGCCGCTTTGACTTTCCATCAAAAAATTGTAGAAGAGAACTTTTTTAATATCGGAAATTGTAATTTTTCTTTTTGAATGCTTAAGTATTCCAATATGCTTCCAATTAAACATGGACCAAAATAATGCTTAATAGCAAAGTTGAAATTCGATCTCGATATCAACTGTTAATATCTGCTAGAAATTTTCGAAAAAAAAATTTTCAATATTTTGCTCGTACTCCCCAAGTGAGCCTCTATCACCCCTTAAAAGGAATGTCGCCAATTTTGAATCACCCTGTATAACCGTACCATGAACAGAGAGTGCCAGTTTTGATACAAGTTGTGATGAAACTCACAGACTAAATTTACTGGCTAATATTTTTTACTTTCAATTTTCATGTTATAAACTAAACTATTATTTAGGCTTTAACTTATATCCTTAGTGTGGTAAGTGAATAAATATAAATTAATGCGTTTAATTATTTAATTCCTTCTCCAATTGCTTTTTCAGAAAAGTAATATTTTCTTGTTGCTTTTTAGATATTCGAAATTTTGGATTTTTTATTAGGGTAATTTTTACGCTAACTTACATTTGTTAGAATTATTAAAGGTGTTCTTAAGACTCTATTAGGCGACACTTTTTGTACAGTAGCTGCTGCGCAAAAATGTTAATTTGCATAAACTTAAACGTGGGGAGGGGGAGAGTCCCGTAAGCACATGATCAAAAGCAGAAATGCTTGAATAACTATGAATGTTGTAAGATTTTACAAATAGCACTAAAATGTCAAAAATAATTACTGCATCAACACAAAAGAAAATCAGGTAATTCCAGCTACCAAATATTAATCAAAAGTTCTGGTAGTTTAAAACATTGAACAAGCGTAAATTATGTTGAAAATGCTAGTTTAATAATTGCCTGGTTACATAACTATTCGATCATTTAAACTCTGATTGTAACTATCGATCATCTGAAGACAATCCTTATAATACATTGTTATATAGATTTTAGTGTTTTATTTTACTTAAGTTAAAATATTTGTGGATTTAAGTAAAACGTATAATTTTTTAACCCTTTTCAAAATTTACTCCTTTTGGACTAGTCGAAAGTATCCAATAGCAGCCGAGACCAATATCTCTAATAGGTGCTCCTACCTTTTCAGATTTGATTTTATTGTTTAATTTGTCCCATTTATGCAGCTTATAATTTAATTGTTTTTGTTCGAGTTCTTTCATATATTTATCCGCCACTTGAAAGTGGATTTTATTAGTTTTCATTCATTGTTTTAATAAGTTTATAATACACAGGTGAATACGATTCACCCAGCATTCGTCATACTTGAACCAGCCGGAATGTTTTCTTGGACTAATTTATTTTAATTATGCAAATAAATATTCTTTTATCGTCGCCTGACACTTTTATACATTAAATAGCGGCAAATTTTAAATACTTATTTGACTAAGCGAAACACCAATTGATTTGGCCAACATTAGGGTTTAATGTATAATTTACAAATAATACATCGTCTTTAAACCGTTTCTATTAACGAATGCAAGACAAGTGGTAACTTTAAAAGAAAGGCTTAAACTATTAAAAATTTAATGCATGTTAAAGGCACTCTTAACTTTAAACAACCATTGAGAAATAGTAAAATCATAATTTTTATATTCAACTAAACCAATTGCAACGTAAGATTTACAAAAGTTATTCAGCTTTTGTTTGTAATTCCCAATAGATAAATAGTACACATTGATTAAAGACCATTTATTGGCAAATCAATATTGCTTCACACGCACCTGAATGCACTTACATAAAGGATTTTTATTTCTCCATTGTTTACTAGTTGTCTTTGATCCAGACAAATGATGATTAGCCATCTAGTAACCGATAAGAATGTTTTCCCATTTAGCACTCCAGATCGAATATAAATAGGCGCAACTGAAACAAACCCTCAATAACTGCAGTAAAGTTGTCTAGTCGATTTCATCCATATAAACATGTCTAAACTTCTAGTTTTTGTCAGCATTTCAGTTGCAATTTTCTGCCAAGTAAGTCCTAGAAAAATTCATAAAAACCACTCGCTGTTTCTGTTTATGGGTGCATTACCAGAAAGGAACAGAGCCTTGCAACTATTAATATTTAAATCGCTATAAAAGTGTGTTTCCGTGTGCTGCCTAACATAGGAAAAATAGTTTTCAGATGTGAACGCTTCTGGAAAAGACGACGCTAAAAAGGCTTTCCATGAGTTAATGGAAGTGATTGACAAAGCTTTGACCGATGCTCAAAAGACACTCGACAAGGCCGTAGAGCAATTTCAAGCTGCCGCTGCTAATTTAGAAGATAAAGCTAAAGCTGAGCTGGATACAACTTTGGAGCCTTTGCGAAAGAAGCTGGATGATTTAGTGAACAAGGCAAAAGAAAATGGTAACTGACTTATTAAATACGATGCGATTTTTTAAACCTTATAATATTTATCTGTTTGCAAATATTACAGGTTTTGATATAAGCAAATGCCAGAATTACATAGACGATTTCTCCAACACTCCAGACAATCTTGTTAACAACTTGGTGGGTTGTATCAATACACAAGTTACTGATGCGCAGAAAGCGGTGACTGATGCGCTAAACCAGATGAAGCAAATTGAAGAAGATCTTAACACTATTGATACGGATATCGATAATTGCAGTGGCAGCAAGTGGACGCAAGCAAAGTGCTACGCGAAAATAATAGCGAAAATTGCAAAAGATACCAAAGACGCGCCTGAGAAAATTGTCGCTGATGTTGGAAAGGTCACTTTGTTGATTAGCAATCTGATTCCAGCTCTCGAGGACTGTTTTACGAGTAAGCTGAAAAAGGCTGGAACAGACGCTGCGGAGGACGTTGCTAAGTTCGGAATATGCGCAGCTGTTTAAAATTTAAGTAGATTTTAATTAGGCAATATAAGTATATTGAGTTGTATTTAGAAATAAAAAAACTGTATTGTGTTCAAAGAGAGCCAATAATTTTCCAAAGCCCTAATTATAATCACTCTAAATTTGAAATAACATCCTTGAGTTGCCTCTAAAGTGTTGTTGTGAGCCGCATCTATTGGTTTCAGTTTAGCATATTTCCTTTGCACTTAAAAGCATCAGCAAGTCTAAAATTGCAATGTCAAGCCGCAAATGGAAGAGCCTTAACAACTTAACAAAAATAGACAGTATTTATTTAGGCACGTTCGGAACTACTTTAAAGTAATATAAGTTAATTAACGACAATATTGGGATCTAATTAAGCTAGTTCAAAAAATTCCTAGATGTTTCACTGTAAAATATTTCGAAAACGGTGACAGATCTCGACTTAAATCAAGTACGAATTTTTAGTTTCTGAAATATTGGAGAACCAGATATTGCCAACAAAAAAGCGATATATTAAAACCCAAAAAGGTCTGATGTTTTAAATGGCTCCAGACTATTGCAGCTAGTGCCATCTAGATACTACAAGCCAACCAATAGGGAATTTGGACTTGCCGTTCTAAAAAAAAATTTTCTAATTTCTAAATCTATTTAGAAAAAACCGAAATCTTTATTCACACTTTGACACTCTGTAACTCGGAATCTATTAACTTTCGGATAAGACAAATTTGCCTAAAACGCAACATTTTTGCCTAAAAAATGTCAATACATTTTGAGACATTAGTTGAAGACCACCCTGTATAATTTTAATACAAAACTCCGAGCGACGAGCAAAAAAATTCAAGTTTTTAAGAAAACGTTTTAGCATATGGTTTGTATACAGAGTAGCCAAATCCTCTCTCTGTGTAATTGCCGGTTTCTCTAAACACTCAAAATTTTAAATAACGCCCTTGAATTGCTTCTAAAGTGTTATGTGTGAGCCTCATATTTGAATTTCAGATTTGTATATTACGATTTTGTGTTTAAAAGCATGTAAAATACCGTAGTGCCTTAATCAAGCACTTTCATATCTAATTCGGAACGCAAATTGTTGATGTTTTAAATGCCTTTAAAATGATGCTGAAATGTTCTTGGGCGCTTTTCTTGTTAACGAAGCTTTAAAAATCGCATTTCGTTACTCTCCTGTAAGCTTATTTTTATTTCGAACCAAAATGCTTTTATTTATTTTTCCTTAAATTTCCTCCTTTAAAAAAATTATAAACATTCCAAATATGGCATACTTATATTTACTTTTTCTGCAGTTTTTCCATGCTCCATAAAACCTATTCAGTAGATCAACTGCAATCCAAATACGAGGGCTAACATTGCCATTGTGAATCTATCGTGGTCATTTATTTTTTCTATTACTTTTATAAATTATGCAAAACTATTAAACAAATCACTAAACAGTTCCTCAGAGCTACTTGAAACTATTTAAATTTCAACGTGATTGTTTTCCTTTTTAAAGTTTATGGGTTGTTTTTAGTAAAGAAAATCACGGCCAAGCAATAACTGATAAGAATATATTTCCACTGCGTTTTTAACAATCGATATAAATAGGCAAACATTCGAAGAACTATTTAACAAGTACTCACGTGTTAGTTGCAGTATAGTTCAAAAAATCATGGCTAAGTTGTTCATTTTTGCAATTATAGCAATTGGAGTTTCGCTTCAGGTAAGTATCAGAACATCTAGAATAATGAACAAAATGACTTTATTTAGGAAAATAATCAGGTATTCTTAATTTGTTTCCAATGAATGCGCAGGTTTTTCATCAAATTACGTTCATGATAAATTTCCGAGCAAATTTTAAATAGAAAAACAGTTTGCAGACGTGGATGCTGATGGGAAAGCTGATGCCAAAAAAGCGTTCGAAGAGCTGGTAAAAGTATTAGATAAAGCCATAACCGATGGTGAAAAAGTCATCGACAAGGCTGTAGGCCAGTTCAACTCGACAGCTGATAAACTAGAAGTTAAAGCTAAAAGTGATCTGAACAAACTCTTATCGCCTTTGCAGAAAAAGTTGGATGAGTTGGTAAAGAAAGCTGGAGAAAAGGGTAAATAAATGTTTAAAGACAACTCAGTTCACATATCTACCAATACGTTTCAGGGAAGAAATGCAAAAAATTCGTAGACGATTTTTCCAAAATCCCTGACGGCACTGTTAAAGGTATAGTGGATTGTGTCAGAACCCAAGTAAATGCAGTCCAAACGGCTGCGTCTGATGCCCTTCAGCAGATGAGAAAAATTGTAAAAGATCTAAAATCAATCGGTCCAGAAATTGATAAATGCACTGGAAGCAAGGTTGACGAGGCAAAGTGTTACGCCAAGCTGATAGCCAAAATTGTTAAGGATGCTAAGACTGCGCCTGTAAAAATTTCAGCCGATGTAGCCAAAGTCACGTTATTGATCTCCAAGCTGCTTCCAACTTTGGAAAGCTGTTTGGCCAATCAGCTTCGGAAAGCTGGTTCGGAAGGCGCTGCGGATATCGCTAAGTTTGGAGTTTGTGCTGCTGTAAAGTAAATTACCACTTTATAAGTAAATGCTAGCTTTCTTCTATTGATATACGATTGTGAGTTATTTCAAAGTTGTCTTGTAATTTGGCAATGTGTTTTTCGATTTCTTGGGTTAATAACATGAGACGTGTACTTTATTTTTCATTTTTATTTTCTTGCTTTCAATTTAGAGGAAATCTCCAGGTTTGAATTTTTCTAGAAGCTGATAGTTGTTGTGAGAGAATAAGACTGGAAAGTAAACTGAACCAATACTAACCAATAGAGCAAGCCGGATTTCGCTCAGGTTTCGGCACCAACAATAACCTTCTAACGTTAAAAAACCTAACACAGAAAACCATAGAATACAACCGACCAATGGTCTTGTCTTTGTTGATTTACAATTAAAATATTACATCAGCCTTCCAGATATCGTGACAAGCCAGGGCGTTTGGAACCTCAAAGGTTTCGTGGTGGTTCAACGCCTGAGACAGGAAGCTAGGAGGGCCTTTCACCGAGCCGCAAAAGAAAATCACGATAAAAAATGGGCCTTTTCCTCAAAGCCGGGAGAGACTTCAAGAGGGAACTGCGAAGATCCAAACGAGCAAGTTGACAGCACCCGATCAGCCTAACATCCTTCTTACTCAAAACACTAGAAAAGCTGATCCACAGACATATCAGGGAAGAGGTTCTTACTAGAAGTCCTCTACACCACAACCAATATGCCTACCAAATGGGAAAGTCCTGCGAATCTGCTATCCAC